ATTTTTTTTTTTCCAAAGTAAAGATGATCTGACAAAGGAGTTTAAAAAATGAATACACAGAGAAAGAGATGGTAAAAGTGGGATGAAGGCTAGGTTCTGATTGCTATATTAAATAGCTAAAAATATGGGATCAAGAAAGCATATAAATTTCAATTGACTTACTTCATTCTTCACTTTCAAATTTATAGTCATCAATGCTTTTTTAAAATCAGAATTTTTTTTTTTCCAGCTCTGATGTAATTAAGAAGGAATTTCTAACCATGAGAAACCATACAGTGGTGACAACATTCATCCTCCTAGGACTAACAGACAACCCAAACTGGGAAACTGTAATTTTCCTTTTACTATTTATTGCATATTTACTCAGTATCATTGGAAATCTGATCATTATCTTTCTCACTCTGCTGGATTCTCAACTCAATACACCCATGTATTTCTTCCTTCGGAATTTTTCATTTTTAGAAATGTCATTCACATCTGTCTGTATCCCTAGGTACCTGTACAGCATTGCGACAATGGATAAAAGGATTTCTTATGAGGCTTGTGTGACTCAGTTATTTTTTGCTATCTTGTTTGGTGCATCAGAGTTTTTTCTGTTGGCTGCCATGTCATATGACCGCTATGTGGCCATCTGCAAACCCCTTCACTATGCGACCATTATGAACAACAGAGTTTGTACCCAGCTTGCTGTTACCTCTTGGTTGGCTGGTCTATTAACAATCACTCCTGGACTTATCATGGGCCTGGGGTTGGATTTCTGTGATGCCAATGTTATTGACCACTTTGCCTGTGATTATTCTCCTATCCTGAAACTGTCCTGCACAGACACACAGGCCATAGAATTGCTAAGTTTCATTTCAGCCATTGTCACATTGCTAATTACATTGACCCTAGTGATACTCTCCTATGCATATATCATAAAAACAATTCTGAAGCTCCCTTCTACCCAGCAGAGGAAGAAGGCTTTCTCTACCTGTTCCTCCCACATGATTGTTGTCTCTATCTCTTATGGAAGCTGCATTTTTATGTATATTAAACCTTCTGCAGAGGAAAGAGTAACTTTAAACAAGGGGATAGCTGTGCTCAACACTTCAATTGCACCTGCCTTAAATCCTTTTATATATACCCTAAGAAACAAACAAGTGAAACATGCCCTGGATATGATAATTCAAAAATGTATATTTATTGTCTTAAAAAAATAGCTTTTGCTTTTATAAAAGTAATCCACTAAAGCATATTGAACAATGTAGCCTATATAACTTTGCCTTCATTTATTTAATTTTTATTCATGATTGCAATTAAGCCCCTCTAGATAGTTGTTGTGTAGTCAATCTACTGTTTTTTAAATGTTTTAATGGTATATGCTTTATCTAAGATTTTTCTTACATGTTTACTGAAAACACTCAATTTTATTTTCTTTTTTATCTTCAAAATATTTCAATATAAATCAGTATTTAAGTTCCAATACCTCCAAGTTTTTAGAGCATAAATTTGTTGAGAAGAAGACCACTGTGAGGTCTATAAGCATTCATTTGACTTTGTATGTTTCTGGGAAATATTTCTTTTGCCATTTAATGTTACTATTTTACTAAACAACTGGTACACATAGTGTCAAATAATGAACCTATATAGAAGAATTAAGATTTGGGTTTAATAAAAATACTTTGAAAATATCCATAAATTTCTATTACCAAAAATCAAATGAGTTTTCATTTAGCAAAGAGCCTATGTAGATTACATCTACCTAAGAATGAGTCTTAATTAGTTTAGCAGACAATATCTCCTCCCAATATTGTACACATGCCTTCTAACATGCCTTCAACAAACATACCAATAGAACACAGCTGTAAATCAGAGTTGTAAAAGACAGATGCTGTCTGATAATCATGCAAAGAAAAGCACCATAGCTAAACAGGAAGACCCAATGTTAAGTATCATGCTTGTTCTTGTTTTTGCTAAGGGCTGTCCAGTCAGTTCTGACTCATAGTGGCCCTGTATAGGGTCACTGAGGAGCAACTGGTGTGTTTGAACCACCAACCTTGCATTTC